GTCAACTTGCTCCCAGAAGACACTATGCTTCTCATTAATACATGAATATGCCAGTTAGTCCGCCGTAGAAAGAGGCTATTTTTTTGCATTGGCGAAGTGCGAGCTTGAATATGTATTCCCATTTGTTTTCAATATTGCACCACATCAGGAATAACGTAGTTCCAGGCTAGAACCGGCACACAACTATGTTTGTCATTTATGTTGAATAATAATAAAACCTGAAGCTTTTGTTAGTGTGTCAACAATGTTCCTATGAGATAAGAGATGTATACCGTTAATGGCATCAATTGGTAAAAATATAAATTTGTCAGGTTTTAGGGGTTCATAATTTTCGAGCAAAATTGTGACCACTAGTTGATGTACAGAATTCGTTTCTCAGCACCAGTGCAAATAGGTTGCGTAGTAATATATATCAAATCATCAGTTGAACAGACATTATACATTGGCTTATGTTCAGATTGCAAACGGTTTCGCAGTCTACTTAACAATAAGTAAGCAATACACAACAGTCACTACAATCAGATGAAAACTTCATTTCGCATGGATAAACTTCGTAATATTGGTGAAAATAGTACTTAAAATTTAGTTTTTTAAGCCTAAAATAACTCAAGAAATTGAACATGCTGTTGCAAATTTGCCTAGACAGTATAAGAGTTATAAGATATTTTCCTATACAGTTTAATAATATGCCATGATGGAGCTTGAAAAATTAGAAACAAATTCGTATATTACATTATAATATAGTTTTTTTTCTTTATGATAACATTCTTTTGTCATTTAGCGATAATTGTAACGGTAATCTAAGCTTGCGAATATACTACCCAGAATAAATTGCATATCCTTGGCTACACCTCTCAAAACGCAAATATTTCGATGTCAAATCTTGAAATATTAGCTTAATTTAATTATTAGAGTTTAATGATAAAATTTAATATCACTGTTGAGAGATTCAACTTTTATGATAATCAGGCGAGTTTTCAAATTACGACACTAAAATAAATCAGTGTCTATTTCTTTTTCAATGTTTATCACGCCTGGTTATACATACTAAAGTATTACAAAACAACTTTTATAACTTATAATTATCACACTCAATAAAACTACAACTATGTCTTCACTTTCTCTACGCCAATGTTTGTCAAAGTTACAAGATTCCAGCAATTGTTCAAAATGTCATTTTCGATAATTTTGGAAACGGTAAACTATGACTTTCAAATGATTCCAATTAGTACAAATAAGTCTTTTTATTTTCTATAGATTAATTTCATGGATCATGGAAATGGAATTCGCGATAACTCTTATCTTGGTCATACAATTGTGACTCATTTTATACTTAATACAAGGCCATATTAGACCTGGTCAAACAAATTTAGCACAACGTCTTTAATAAAACCTCATTACCGGAATTCAGTCACAACTTGATTTATTATTTCTTGAATCTTTATTGGTTAATTAAACAAACTTTTATTCAAGGGCTTAACAATAGATATAGGATAACCTGGAACAGTACTTACTCATTGTTATTTTGTCCTTGGTCACGTAGCTTCAAAGTAATATTATTTGCACACTGGTTGTGTTGTCGTCTTTCCCTTATTTTCATCTACTCATTTTATCCATCCCACTGGGCTGTTTCCTCTAACCTTTCTTCGTTTTGCGGCTCTAAATGTTGATTAACCATTTATTGCATCGTTATTGGAAACAGCTAAATGATAATTCCCTTCATTTTCATTTAAAAATCTTTTTCGCAAGCTTCATACAACCGTTTTCTTACTCTAATCAAGTTTATTTTGCTACTTATCCGTAAATGTTCTACCAGTCTGTGATTACACTTTTTTGTCAACTTCCTAAAACTGTCTTGCAATGTATTTCTGGCATTAGCTCGGGCTGCTTTTCTACATGCATTGTACGCAGTTGTTCTTTGACTAGCAGTAAGTTATTAAGTTCAGGTCAATGGTGACTTTCAATCTCCCTTCCTAACATCATCATGTTATGGCTTTGTCTTCTAGACTCATGTTCCACATTATAGGACATCGTGACAAGTTCTGCTCCTTCCCAATCAAGCCAATATATCAATCATGGTTTTACTCAACTTTCCAATTGTTGAGGGTTTCTTGTTTTGATACTACAAAGTATAGAGCAGATGAGACTCAAAATGTCTTTCTTGGTGCAAATGTAATTCTGTGTGACATAAATTCCATGACAATATGATCTCTTCTTATGGTGAATTTACATTTGTAAAATTACTCCATTCCAAACATTGTTTTTTATTCTGATTAGAAGAGTTCAATGCCACAATATGATACCACTTTTGGTGTTTGCGACACGAGTAAAAAATGTTTGGGTGTATTCTAAATGAAACTGACTCATTCCGTATGCCCTTCTAAGAACTGTTTTGCCAATCGCTCATGTAAAAATGCATTCATTACAGGGTAAGATAACATTTCCAGCGAATGTGTCACCACTGCCGCGAAATTTGCCTTTGCATAGCAGATTCAAAAACCCTGCATTCAAAAAAGTGCATGAAACTGACATTTTGAGAACAGCTTCAGTCACTTTCCAATGTGCTGTTGAAAGAAACAAATAATGAAACCAAACAATTATATGACATAAATAGATATTACTATATCTTCAGTGTCCTCTTCTAAAGAAAAAAACTCATACAGACTTCATCTGCTGTTTACATCACAGTCAGGTGATTGATCAGTAATACTAATGACGTATACGCAATGTACCTATGTATTATATTTATAATATGCTTTTTGGATGAAAAGTAGAAGACACAACACACAATCTAGTCAGATTTAATCTAGTCAAACAAAGACAATACTTTGGAATAATCACATGTGATAGTGTGTTATGAGACGGTAGATGGAATCAAACAACTTGGGATGGTATTAATATAAATGATATTCAGCCCACTGTGCAGTACTGTCTTTCTCATATGAAAAGTTATTTAAACCGCAGTCCTGTGCTGATCACAATAAATTAACTTCATTCAAATCTAAATATCAGCGCTAGCTATCTGTGGCTTTAACCATCTCGGTGGTTTGGACATTATCAAAGAAACCTAATGTTGGTGTGTAATGACTGGTTTATATCTTCTAACTATAGGAATTGATTTAATCTATTGCTGTGATTATCGAGGACGCCTTAAACATATATTTAAACAATGCTAGTTATTATGTCTGCCAGATAAATATGTTTCTGACGATGATAGGATAGTTGCCAATGTTCTATTTTCGAGAAAGGTATTTAGAGTAGCACGTCATCATTGTATATGCACAGTTTTTATGGCGTCGAACAATCAAAACGAAATTACAGACATATATAAACATAAAGCTGGGAATTCGAACTCACAACAGTTACTCGAAAATAATCAACGCCATGACACATAGCCATAAAATATACAGATTGATATAGCATGATGTTAATGCACTCTTACAACGACTAGGTGGACATGCGCAATTCGAATATCCGACTTTACAAACAACGTGTAGAAAATAATTCTGCACACAAATAAAGTCTAGAATATATAATAAACTAAAATTATAGACTAAAATAAAACTACAGACGGAATATGACTATCAGCTAATGTAAATTATTGTAATTTTGCGGGAAACATTTTCGAGATATTTTGAACTTGTATGTATTAGCAAATTATAAGAAATAGTTTTGCTTTGTTCTTCGCTTTATAACAAATCATTAAGAAAATTTGCATATTCATAGAATATTATAAAATGATTAGAAATCGTTTAGAATATTTAGAAATTGTACAAAGGAATCAGATTTGAAAAGGGCAAGATATTGGGTTACCATTAAAAAGTATATAGTCTAAACTTGTCGTTTGTGTCGTATTATGATTACTTTGTAAGATATTTTTATGATTTTTATTCATTGTTCAAATGATGATTAATAAAGTTTCACGAACGAGGGTGAGTTGTTCGTATTAAAGCCGTTGGAGTTTACTTGCTAGACTATTTTATAGTGGACATGTATCAACTTCGTCCCCTTCCTATTTTTTTTTTAATTATAGTATTATAAAAATATTTTCATAATTCAAACGGTCGTTTTTTTTTATCTCCCTCCTAATTCAGTACCATGTTTCAACCATGTAATCAGAGAAAAGCTTTCTGACAAATGTCTTCCGTGACCATAATATTGTGCATGTTGTTTTGTATAGCAATGAGCAATATATTCACATAAATGAGGTATTAGCAATTTCAAAATTGAAAACATTATGAAACTGATAAACCAAAATGACAATAATAATACATGTATGTTATTTTGATACTTAATTGAGTACTTTATGAAGAAATAGACAATAGTTTATACATACATTAGAATGCTTAAGCTGAAATGATTACACGTGCATACAAAGGTAGTCTGGGTTAATGTTGTAATATATTAGTATATTTCGCTGACGTCAACATATTCCGGGCAACAGTAAGTAAGCAGTCAAATTCATCTTCCACGAAATGTTTAACAAAAAAATACAGCAATGCTCATCTCTATATGCATGCTGTCTCATGTTAGATTATATGTATTCACTAACGTCTTACTATCTATAGTTCCTACAAGATATACAGCAAGATATACTTTTAAGTATATGTACATTTTAACTTATAAAAGCTAACATTCGGGACACCTGTGATTATTACAATAAAACAACTAGGACCATATACGTCAACATATACTCTTACAAAGAACATTAAAATCTTTAACTCTTTGTGTTAAACGCAAATGATCATTCCGCACACTGCTTTAGTAATTCGTGTGCGAAGTTTATTTATGGAATTCATACAAATTATTAAAATGCTGAAACAAACATGAGCAGACATGCCTAGTTTAAAATATGACATTAAAAGCACCTACAGCCATTGTAAGTATGTGGCGCTCAGCTACAGGTTGACAACTTCCTCAAAGTGTAATAGAAACTCACGTTGAAAGTGCGCCCTCTTCGACAGGGGTCAACAATGGTGAAAGTTCATCTTTAGTGACAGGCCTGGATCGCGTGACAGAGACTCGTCTGTGTACAATTGAGACGATATATTATAGAGCATACTGTTTCAAACACTGGTTATACAACAGTTAGACCTCTTCGACACAGACACACATCAAAATGAGAAAGTTTTGGAAGTTTACCGGACTGTTTATTGTCGGCATTGCAATATACATTGCATACACATCGAGAGACACCTTTGACCCAGGTGAGATAACACTATTACTTTGACGTCACAGTGTAGCCCTTGACAACATAGCAACAATGGTCGGGTTTTTAAGAGACCTAGACATGCTCGAAAACAACATGTTTTTGGCTTTTTCCGTGATAGGACATGAACGTGAAGCTATCGTCGGTTTATAACTGAAACCGGGGCCCTGTGTACGGAGTTTGCAAACAGCATTCAGTCTTCAGGAAATCAGTCACTTTAACTCTATTATTTTGCTATTGGTGAGCCGCTCCGCTGGGATTGCCCTTAACATTATTTTCGTGTGTGTGTGATTTCCTGTGTCTTCACCAATTAATTTCTGTGATTTATTGATATCTCCTTTCATTGCCGAGAAATTTGACCCAAAAGTTTGGGGTAAGTGTTCACCAGGAACGGCATTTTAACTTTTCTGTGTTTTTTTTTTTGAGGGGGGGGGGGGGCTGCTCCGAAATCGCTCAAACTTGGCAGGCAGTTCACACACACACAAAAGTGATTTTAATGGCAATCCTAGCGGAGCGGGTT